ATAGACTTTGGTTCAAGGCTCTTGGAAAATCTTCGAATCCCAAATCCCGATTTAAATTCATGTTCCAATGGAACCAATCAAGATGAATCCATCTTATATGCTTCTATTATTCGATTTTGATTCTCGATTATTTAAGATGAACGCTTTTGGATAAAAGCCTATTTAAAAAAGGGTTTGTTTACACAAAGTTCCCTTTAACCTAAAAAATTATGTTTTTTTTATTTATTTTTGTTAATTTTTTTTTAAGTTCATAAAAGTTATATAAATAGGATGTTGCTACACGCATTGCTATGTATAAGTTAAATTCAAAGCAAGTCCGGCTAAAGATTCTCTCATCGGAGAGCTTCTATTCTCTCATCGGAGAGTTCCATCTTCTCATAGGAGAGATTTTCCTATTTAGAGAGGGATTCCTTTCCCCTTAATTAGGTTCTTCTCAGTGCTGATTTCTAGGGTTTGTTACTTCTAGCCATAGCTACGATGGAGAGTGGGGCAAACCCCCCCAATCCAACGGAGGAAGTTGAGCGGAGACTAAAAGCATTCACATTATCAGAGAAAGAGAACAAAGTTATTGATCTTGGTTCGAAAGACGTTAAAGCAAGAGTGGAAGAATGCCACAAAAGCCTCTTCGGTAAAACTTTTGGTGACTAAAGGGCCCATCTAGCCGGCGTGAAGAAGGAAATGGTTCTTATTTGAAAACTGAAGCACTCTATGGAGGTACGTGAGCTAAGCCCCAATTTTTTTCAGTACACATTTGAGAATCTGGAGGACATGGATAGAGTAGCAGGAGAAACTAATTGGATACTGGATAACCAGTACCTAGTGTCGAAAAGATGGAAGGCAGGATTAAGTTGTGGTGACACAGGGTTCAATGAAGTTCGATTTCGGATAAAAGTCCACCATATACCACTAGACTGGCTTACTAATGAAGTTGGGCTGAAAATAGGGAAAGTCTTTAAGTTTGTTTCCAATGTTGTAGTGGATAATCATGGCATTCAAGGAGGGAGACTTATTAAGCTCTTTGTCACAGTTTACTTAACTGAACCTCTCCCCAGATGTGCTTCCATTAGATTGGTAGATCAGCTAGTGACAATAACTTTTCAAATATGAGTTGCGGGTTAACATGTGCTACTATTGTGGGAAGGTGGGCCATACAGAAAAGGATGTGGTCAAAGGATCTATGACATAGAGCATCAAGCTTTGAAAGAAGGACAATTTGGGGAATGGATGAAGGCTGCTGAAAAGACTACAGGGTCAAAACTGGAATAATAGTAGCTACTCCTCTGGACAAGGAAAACAATCCTCCTCTCATCCCATTCCCTACAGATAATCCCCAGGACTAGTAATTAGTTCAATTCAGAAAGGACATACATCTCAACAATTGGGAGCAAATGTTCTATGGCAAGGGGAAGGTTCATCTTCAGGAAACAATGATAGAGATATGAATCCATATGATGCCTCACTTGGAGTTATTCCAAAGGTCTTGCAGGACCCTATACCACCTGTTCAGGAGGATATGGAACCTGAACAATTTGCACAAGAACAACTCATCTCTGTTCCTGTTATATTGCAAGCTCATGTGGAAAAGCAAGTCACATGAGTTCCCAGGAAAACTTGGAGAAGAACTGGGCAACAAATAGGTAGGCTGCTGAGAACCAAAGGGACCATACCAGGAGAAACCACTGATTTAACTACCAAGAGAACAAGGGACCAGACAGAAGAAGAGACACATGATATTTCCAAAGAATCTCTGCTAACTAGAAAAGGGAAGAAAGCCAAAACTTGTCTTGATAAGGTGTTGAGGGCCATCCTTAAGCCCTCAAGTGACTAATGAGGGCTCTGGTGTGGAACTGTAGATGTAGTACTCTGCTTGTTTATTAGAATTTTTCTAATATTATATTTTTATTTATTTTCTTATAATTGATTATTTGCCTTTGCTTTATTTATTTGCCGATTATTCTAATAACTGCTTGTCTCCATCAGTTTTATTTATCTGCTCAAATATTAATTGCTATATGTTTGATTGTACTTAATTATTATGTGATTTACTTTATTGTATTGTTGTGTGTATGCTTGTTTTAGATTAATCTCTTTATATGGCCCAAATGATTAATTATGTGGCCTAAGTTGAGATTACGAGCCCTTCTTCTTTGTCTTTGCGCAACGACCGAGTCCCTATCTGCACCGTTCAAATTTCAATTTTGATTTGGTCGTGAGATTTTTCTCACGTTCTCCCTCTCTCTCGTTTACTTAAGACCGGATGAGGAGTTACTGGTCCTCAGTATCATTCAATCCTCATCCCTGGTCTCTATCTCTCACAACAGCTTCCCAGTTTAAAAAAATAAAAATAAGAATAAAAAATATAAAAAAATATAGTCTCCCCCGTCATCACCTCTGTGCGTTTCATTATCACCGGCGAGCTTTCCGGCGATAACATCCTGTTCGTGAGCAACAACCGTACTTCGTCACCCAACACGAGGAGCAGCAACCTCGTTTTTCCGAGTAGCTTTGTATTCGAAGGGTTCTCGATTTTCGAGTTTCGGAGTTCGTACCGTTTGCCTCATCCTTTTTCAACTGAATTAAAGATTCCCGAGAAAGGTATTGTTTGATTGAAACCTCCTCATCAATCTTGCTCGTATTTGAAAATCGTTCGATTATTTCATGTTCGGAGAATCGATTGTCGTTGGTTGATTCGATATAATTTCGGCTCGTTTATTTATTCGTTTGATGAGTATTCTCGTTCGGTGAATCGTTTATTCGTTGATTGTCCGATTTATTTATCGCTTTGTATGTTCATTGTGTTTTGCGCGTGAGTTTGTCGTGGGTACCGGAAATCTCGTTTATTTCAAATCGAGTCTTGATGCTGAGTTGTTTCGTATAGAAATTAAATCGTATTTTGAAGTCGTCGTCCTGTTATTGTCGTTTGTTTCGTTCGAACTCTTTAACCGTCGCCGGAGGATGCCTGCAGTGCGGTCGTGAGAAGCTGTGAGGCTCTGTTATTCTATTTTTCCAGCTTCTGTTCAGTCGGCTCAAGGCAATTTTATTGATCAAGTCGCAGGCCTTTTGTTTTAGTTTCAGTAGCCCATGATTTCTTTTAAATTCACAACCAGGCGTGTGGTGTAGTGGTGCTCTATGCTCAATTCTGTGAGGGATGTCCTGTGTTCGAGCACAGCTCTTAGGGCAGCCATCCTCTTTTTCTAAATTTTTTTTCCCTCAGCCCAGATAATGCTTAAACCCGCAGCCCAATTGTTTTTTTAAACCCGCAGCCTAGTATAGCAACATAGACGCGCGGGCCGCTTTGCCCATTTGCAGCCCGCGAGGGGCCTGGTTTCTCTCAGCAGTTGCGGCCTTCGAAGCACTCAGTCAGCCCGCATCCCCTTCAGCCTTGTTATGTTGGGCTAGACTTTGAGCGCGGCCCAATTTCAGGCTCCAGGTCTAATTTAGCGCGACATTCGGCCCAGAATGCGAACAAGCGGCCCATTCGACTTTCTAACCTATTTTTGATTTTCGGAAGCCCGTTTTTCGTACCGATCTTATTTCTAAAAATTATTTTCAAATGATATAAATTCAGAAAAAATTATTTTAAGTCTCGTGACCCATTTTCTTATTTCGAGTCTTTTTGTTTACAAAATTCGAGAGTTCCAAGACCACGAAAAATTCGATTAAAACCCTTAACCCTTGATTTTGATTAAGTGTGGGTTTTAAATTATTTCTGAGAGTGAGATAGATTAGTGGTATATTATCTCGCTAAAATGTAGGTGTTTAAGGAGTCGAGCCTCAGCCTACCTACAACCGATCGTGTGTTATATCTGCTAAAATTGATCAGGTGGGAGTTGATTTAACTACCATGTATGTTAATTTCTATAAATGCTTAGCTTGATGATCTAGGTATGCATGTGAACCGGTTGTCTATGAGGCCTAACTCTAGCCTTTAGAGAGCACAGTCCTGGTGTGGGCGGCTCTAGTCCTCGGGTGGACGGCTCCAGTCCTCGGGTGGACGGCTTATTCCTATCTTTTCTGGTGTGGGTTGATAGGATAGAGGTGTGATCACATGAGCGTGGCTGTGTTTAGGGAGGGTAGACTAGTCGATTTGCTTACATACTGCGACCATGATTTTAAGTCTTTATACTGATTATACTGCATGGTATGGTGAGCTAAGTTGCTCACCCCCACTGTTAACCATCTTTTAGGTTGAGCTGGTGGCCATGGCGAAAGACGAGCGAGGCGGGGTCATTATATGTGTTGAACTGCTTTTTACCTACTTCCGCTTGACTATTATTATTTTATTATCTCATGATAGACTTATTTATTTCCGTTTGGAGACTGAAAAATGTTATTTGGGATTTCAAATTCGTGTGTTGGGATTTGTATTATTATGCATGCTTCGGTTTGAATTTGGATTTGATTGGATAATATTATCATGTTGGTTTTGTTTTGATTTCTTCGCATGATGGATCATATGTTGTCAACATATGAGATAAATGTTCGGGATGATTGTTATGTGATTTTTTGAGTAGCGCCCGTTAGATAATACTTTAAATTGATTTTTAAAAATTTAACTCTAATTTTTGGAAAAATAAAATGTTATTTTTCACTTAAAAATAGCGGGGCGTTACAATTCGGTATCAGAGCAGGTCTAGGTTTCTGTAGACTGCTTCTAAAATTGTTAAGTATTGCTTATATGACCCCTCGCTTCGTCCAACCGCGCCAGCTCAAGGTATTAGTACTGCTCGAATTATTTATCTGAATATATGGGGCTTAGGAATTCTATCCTCTTTCGGTTAATGTTGAACCTTAGTGCTTAGAATCTGTGCTAAACTTTTTGGCTTCTAAATGTAGAACTATGGTTTGGGGAGCTCATAATCAGCAGCCTCCACCTGCTCAGGGTGATGATCATGGGCGGACTATTGAGCGATTCCAGAACATGCATCCTCCGATTTTTTCTGGAGTGGAGGGGCCAACAGCTTTGACGGAGTGGTTTCGTAAGCTGGAGAGGATCTTCAATGTCCTCCAATGCACAGTCGAGTAGCGTATCGAGTGTGGAGAGTTCCAAATGGAGGGTGATGCCTCCGACTAGTGGACTGACTATTGCGTGCTGCGGATGGAGGATGAGCGTGATGACCTCACTTGGGTGAGGATGAAAGAAATTATCTCCGAGAAGTATTTTCCCAAGAGCTACCATGATTGCATCGAGCGGGAATTGTGGGATCTGCATCAGGGCTCCACTTCTGTTGAGGAGTGTGCTAGCACTTTCACTCGTCTGAGTGCCTTTGCCCGGCACATGATTGATACTAAGGAAAGAAAGGCCCGCAAGTTCCATGATGGCCTCAGACAGGACAATCATCTGTATATGGCTAGTCATATTCGCAGATACAGTTATCCAAGCTCAGCAGGTTGAGAGCTACTGGACTCTAGTTGTCCCCGTCCCTTCCTACTATCATTCACAGCCTCATCATTCCCCAGCCGACTATCACATCCTAGCCACCTTCCGGCTAGAACAAACGGAAGAATGACCATCACCCAAACCAGAAGAATGCTAAGGGCCCGGACAAGGGCAGGAAACCACAGAATGTCCAGCCACTTCAGTAGTTTCAAGGGGTACAACAGCGTTGTGGGGCGTGCAACAAGCCCCATGCTGCAGGCAGTGTTCTCTGGTTGGGAAGAGCTGCTATAACTGTCGGCAGCTCGAACACTTTTCCTATAGGTGCCCCGAACCGCCGAGGGAGAACCCGAGGCCACATCAGCCACAGCTTCAGTACCAGCCACACCAGCAGCGCCAGCAGCACCAGCAGCCGAACCAGCAGTAGCAGAGAGGCCAGGCTTGAGTTTATGCCCTCACCAACAATAAGACCACCACCAACACAGGTTCCATGTCTGAATGCTTTTCATTTCCAACGTGCCTATATTTGCTCTATGTGATATTGGTGCCACGCATTCTTTCGTTTCATTCCGTTGTTTGGAGGCCTTAGAAATTAGAAACGTCAATAAGGTCGACTCTTTCGTGGTTAGTTTAGCCTTGGGAAAGACGATTGTTACTGATACGATGGTTCGTGGTCTGCGAGTGGATATTTGCAGGAGGAACTTGGAGGCTGATACCTACATCATAGACATGTGGTATTTTGACGTAATTCTCGGCATGGATTGGCTTACCTGATACCGTGCCAACATCCGATGCCTCGAGCGAGAGGTGACTTCGCACCTGGACGACGGCCAGCCGATCATCTTCTACGGAGCGAAGACGAGGACCGTGCCCCAAGTCATCTCTCCTTGAAGGCGATGAGGAGCTTATCGAAGGGTATCTGTCAAGGCTATTTGGTGAGCATGGTTAGCAAAGATATGAAGGAGTTGTCTCCGGAGAGTGTGTCCATTGTATGCGAGTATGTGGACGTATTTCCAGACGAGTTGCCTGGGGGACCGCCGGAGAGACAGTTTGTGTTCGCGATCAACTTGGTTCTCGGAGCCAGCCCAGTCTCGAAGGCACCTTAGAAACTGCAAGTGCTCAAGACGCAGATCTAGGAACTTATGGACCTCGGCTTTATCCTACTGAGTGTCTCGCCATGGGGAGCGCCCGTGCTGTTTATTAAGAAGAAAGATGGGTCGATGCGGATGTGCATTGACTATAGAGATTTGAATAACCTGACCGTGAAGAACCAATACCCTCTATCCCGGATCGAGGATCTGTTTGACCAGCTGAGGTGTACCAGCAAAGTTCTCGAAGATCGATGTTAGATCTGGCTACCATCAGCTGAAGATTTGGGATTCCGACATTTGTGAGACGGCCTTTCGGTCTAGGTATGGGCACTACGAATTCGTGGTGATGCCGTTCGGACTGAGCAACGCGCCGACGGTATTCATGGTCTTGATGAGCCGAGTTTTCTACCCCTACCTAGACCAATTTTTCATTGTCTTCATCGACGATATTTGGTTTATTCGAAGGACGTCGAACAGCATAAGGTCCATCTGAGGCTTGTACTAGAGACGCTTCGCAAGGAGAGTGTAACGCCCCACTTAATTTTAAAAGATTTATCAAATTTATTTAATGAAAATCAGAGTTAATTTTTTTTCAAAATCTCGATTAAGTTTAAAATTCAAAGGGCGCTACTTATTTACCAAGAGCAATTTATCCAACACACAAGAAGATCAAAATGAACCAACACATTTGTCAAGATTCAAAATAACAATAAATAACAGCATAAAACCCAAGTATTCAAATCCGTCCAACTCTTATCCAAAATCACTAGTTCAAACATAATCAAATAAACCATAACAAGTTCATAAATGCGGAAGTAAATATCAGTCTTAAACAAAAGCAAGACCACCGACTCGTCTTGCCTCGTCACCCGCCAACTGCTTAACCTGCATCCGTGAAGAGCAGGTGGGAGTGAGTACAGTTAAATATCGTACTCACACTATGCATATGAATAACATAACAATGGTATGGTCGCAGCATGAACATAAACAATAATCACAACATGTCTCATCTTCTAATCAAAATCACACCATTTAACCTTACTCCTATGCACATCTATCGCTAGCCGCAGAACGGGGATTCATTACCCGAAGGCGGGAGTACGTGCCACTGTAACAGACACGGCCTTCCATATGGGCTTACGTACCTCACAAGGGCACGGCCATATCAGGACTTAAAGGAGATTGCCACACAAGAGCACCGTACCGTAACTCGACGGGGACAACCGTACCGACGGCCGTAACAGCTCACATCGATAGGCTACATGTTCACATGCATACATAGATCATACCAAATTTTCCACACAATTAAATCACACATATGCATAGATAATTTTAGAATAACAACCCACCTGGAAATCGAGGTAGGATATCACATTGAAATAGCAGATAAGTAGGTCGAGGGCTCGACTCCTCAAACACCTACAATTAATTAATATAATACATCAATAATCTATCTCACTACACGAATTTAATACAAAACCCACACTTAATCAAAATTAAGGCTTAAAGGATTTTATCGGATTTTTCATGGACTTGGAACTCTCACATTTTAAAGAAAAGACTCGGGGAACAAAAATGGAGTCTCGGGACTTACATAATTTTTCCCAAATTTTATCATTTAAAAAAAAATATTTTTAGAACTGAAATCGGTATTAAAAACGGGCTTCCGGAACATAAAAGAGGTTAAAAAAATCAACTTGGGCCAAAGCTGCAAGGACTTCCCCAATTGGGCCGCGGTTGGGGTGAAATTAGGCCCAAAATCACAACCTGTTAAGGAAAAAGGGCGCGGGCTGACTGAGGGCTTCGCGGGCCTGGGCGCTGGGAGAAATTTCGGGCTGCGGGCGGGATGGGGTCGGGCCGAACGGCCCGCGCGCTTAAGACTATCCTTATCAACAACCCAACCCAACCCAACCTAAACAATTAAAAATTATTTCCCACTCATTTACTTACACAACCCAACTTTACAACTCAACTTATCTTTATCCCCAAACCAACCTAACCTAAAATATTTATTTTATTTTTATTTATTTATTTATTAAGTATTATCTACATTTGATTTGTGTTATTATTTTAAGCGTGATAAATTAATTAACAAATTATAAATAAAGTCGTAAACATTTTAAGAAAATTATAATTTAAAATAAATTGCAAACTCAATTAAAATTTAAAATTATAAAAATTAGAACAAAAAATAAAATTTGTTAAACAAGTTACAAATAATTTGAATAAAATCACAAATCAATTATCATTACTAAATTAAAATTATGTTCCAAAACATATCATATGTGGTCTCTATTTATAGAGAATGAAAAAATACGAATTTTGATATTTTTTATTTTTATTTTTAATATAAATTAACTCTTAAAAATACAAATTATTTTTTATCTTATTAAAAAAATACACTTGTCCAACAAAAGTTGGACAAGTGTCCCAAACTTTTTTCCCAACCGGTTGTGACCCTTGGTCACATTGTGACTTGGGTCATGCCTTTTTGTTGATTTTTCTTTTATTTTTTTTATTTTTTTTTTTTGTCTTTTCCTGGTGACCCAACCATTGGGTCACCGATAAACAAAGTCTAAGGGACTACCAGGCTTAGTGGAAAAAATGTAAATTACATTGGGCGCTGGGGACAGGAATCGAACTCCCAACCTCACAACGGGAAATGAACGCCGGTCACCACTACACCACTGGCTTGGTTGTGACATACAAAGCAATTAATGACTACTAAAGTTAAAACAGAAGGTCTGCTATATAATCTGAAATACGAACAGAAAGCGAGCGAACAGGGGCTGCGGGAAATCTCACGCAGACGGAGTGAACGTTTTCTCGAGAGTTTATAAAATTTTATAAAATTAACACCTGTCTCAGAGTTCGAACATATTTTGCAAATCGGTTTTAATCTCGAAAAACGAAACGACCATAGAACGGCTCTAACGGAAGTCACACGATTCAACAAACACAACTACAATCCGGAAAAAGACAACGAGACTCTGAATTCGAACGGATAAATTACAGTTGCAACAAGACTCGATTTTACAATAAACGAGAGTTCCGATATCCCCACGTCGATTCACGATCCCATACGAATAAAAATTCGAGATTTACAAACAAACAGAAAAGAACCATCAAAGCTTTGAATCCGCACAAGATGAACAACGAATTTAAACGTGCCCGAAAAATAACGAGAAGGTTCCGAAAGATTTACCCGTCTTCGGGAAATACGAGCTATCAGAAAAATTGGGTCGGACGAATGGGAATCGGGAGGAATTTGAACGGCACACGGAACTCCTCGAAGGTGCTGCTCATGAACGGAGAACGTTGCTGACCTCTACGATGGCCGAAGGCTGAAATCGGTGACGAATGGCTGCCGAAGGTGGAAGGTCTCGTCGGAATTAATGGCAGAGGGGGCTGCTGGACGTGTCGGGCTTTCGCTCGGAAACGAAATGCTCGGCAATGGCGGACAGCGGCTGGGAACGACGACCGCGACCGTTGAGGGAGGAAGGGATCGCCGTAGTGCTGCTCAGAGAGACGCCGGCGGTAGAGCTCTCGCCGGAGAAGAAGGTGCGCCTAAATTTTTTTTTAACTGAAAAGGTTGCTACTATTTGAACGGAGAAGAGAAGGGAATGAAGGGAAATCTCTGTTGGTCGAGATATTATAGCCAAGAGATTGTGGAATGTGCGATAAAATTTTGCCGAAGAATCGCTAGATCTGCAACTGATATGAAGACTCGGTCGCTGCGCGCGTGGAAGAAGAAAGAGATAAATCTGCCAATCTCAACTCAATTTGGGCCAAGGTGATAATAGGGGATTTGGGCCAACACTATTTAATACATTGGGCCAGGATTTATTAGCAAGGAATTGGGCCTTTTAATTCACATAGCAAAATGGGCTGGAATATAAATTTGATAACACGGTTCGGCTCCCGGGCCCGACTACGTAGCGATAATATGGTTTTTACTCGAGCTTGATAGATTAAATCGGATCGGCTCGCAATCTAAATCGCATAATAAATATACAACCGGATATAATATATTTTTATAATACACACAATTAAATTTTAAGAAAATAATAATAATCTTTGTGAAAATACAAATACCCATTTTAATTAATTAGTAACACATCGACAAATAAATCACATTCGACAATTTATAATTTATATCATTCAATAAATAATAATAATAATAAAAATCATAAAAATAAATAA